GAACACCATGATCCCGCTGTCCGCAGCCTTGGCTGGCAGGAAGGGTGAGTTCGTGGGGTGGGAAGGGGAGCCATGAGGGAAAGAGGGAGGGTGAGGGGTGGAGCTTCTCTGGTGTGGTGATGGGGGTCCTGCCCTGCCTTGGGGCCCTCACACTCCATTGTTGTGTTCGGGGTCTAAGTGTTCTGATTTATGAAAAAGAAGTGCTTTATGCAGAGTGTAGATACTCTACTCCTCTGTAGATACTCTGAGGAAAAATGATTTAAAAATAATTCTTTTTTTAAGCAAAGATAGGACAAGACTATTTARAAGAGCGTGTAGTAACTGGACAAGGTGGAACAGGTTCAAATTGAAAGACAGTATGTTTAAATTAGATATTTGGAAAAAAATTCTTCATTGTGGGGGTGGTGAGGCCCTGGCACTGGTTGGCCAGAGAAGCTGTGGCTGCCCCGTCCTTGGARGTGTTCARGGTGAGTTGGATGGGGCTTGGAGCAACCTGATCTAGTGGRAAGYGTCCCTGYTCATRGCWGGATRTTGGAACTAGATGATCTTCGAAGTCCCCTCACAACTCAACGATTCTATGATTCTATGAAAAAAGWAAAACCTGCAAAGGAAAACTATGGCCGAAATTTGAAGGGGGATGTGATAGGGCAGAGGGAGGCTGCCAAGGGCTCGCTTCGGGAAGCAATGGCTCCTGAGGAACCAACTGCAGATCTGGCAGTGGGACAGTGTCCCTGGCTGTGGGACAGTGTCCCTGGCTGTGGGATAGGGTCCCTGGCAGTGGGGCAGGGTCTGGCTGTGGGATAGGGTCCCTGGCAGTGGGGCAGGGTCCCTGGCTGTGGGATAGGGTCCCTGGCAGTGGGGCAGTGTCCCTGGCAGCTAGACAGGGTCCCTGGCTGTGGGACAGGATCCCTGCAGGGCTGCTCCCCAGGGCTGGCAGCTGTCCCCTTGCTGGGGGCTCTGGGCCAGGCAGCGCCGCCAGGGCGAAGAGCTTCTGCATCTGCTCAACAGAAGAATCACTGCTTTGGGGACTTGGAGATTATTTATCTTAGCTCCCTCTCATAAATCCTGCAGGACTTTACATTAAAAGGGCAGCTGGGGAAAGGATCCTCCAACTCCTGCAGGTGCTGAAGAGCTGGGCTGGCAAGACTTCTCTTTAAGGCATCTGTGGCCAAAACCTATCCTCTTCTACTGCTGTGCAAGATAGATAGAGGGGACTTTTCCTGARTAGGCATTYAGTACATGCAGGAGTGAGGCTCTGSACCTGCATTAACAAAGTGGGTAAGAAAGGGAAGTAGCCTCTTTCCTGGGATCCCGCTTCCATTTCTTTTGCTCCCCAGTGGTCCAAAAAGAGTAGGAAGGCAGGAGGGGTCTGGTCAAAACTTTGCGATTGTTCTCTCTTGACAGTGCTTCCTGATGATAAATAAGAGTTTAATTTATGATACAGCTTCTCACCRTATTGACTGAGCCCACAAACATTTTTGCAAATCTAAGAGACCTAGATTAAAAAGATCTAAGCAGATTTATTATTATTTAATAAGAATAAAGACATATTTTAAGAAATAGTATTTTTGATGGAAAGAAATCTGTTAGAAAGCTTCTGTGATACGGTCCAATATCCTATCAATTGATTTCACTCTACACTCTAATGTTGGTGAGTCTTCCATCCTAGGTTTGTGAATAATTGTCCTAGAAACTTAAAYATATATATATATATATGAGTTTAGATTTGTTTTTTCGAAATATTTCCTTCTCAGATGGGATTAATTTGTGGAGGTCATTTTAATTGGTTTATTATGTTGCTAATACAAGAACAGTGAGTAAATTCCCTAAAGGACTCCATTGCCTTTAAGTGAGGAAAATATTGGTGTGCCCTTTAGCTCTGATTCATGCTACTATTGTAAAGCCAGCTGTGAGATATATGTGCAGGCAATGGATGATGAATGTGTTCTAATAATCCAGTATACAAAGTATTTCCATAAAAATTCTTCAGTAGTATCCAAGGACATTAAACAGTCCATCAAGAAAATCCTTCTTTAAATGGTTTTGAATCAGGCAAAGACACTTAATGCACAGTTGTACAGGGTATCTCAASTTTTCCCCGTGATAGTTCCAGAATCTGTTTTTAGCATATGATTATGATACTGCTGAAAACGTTGCTTCTGATAAAAATTTGTGTTGATTTTCAGTATTTTCAATTCCAGTTGCATACAAGAAATTAATGAGACTCGTTCTGTTGCTTGGGATATAATTGTGTGTTTGTTGACAGTCATCACAGGAATTAGCTTTAAAAAGATCTTAAGATTTATCTTTTATACAGGATTAAAATTAACTTTGATTATTTAACAGAACACTCTGGATGTCTCTCCTTTTTTCTGATGGACCTCTGGTTTGGGTCTGTTTATTGCAAATGCAGCAGTGGAATAAAACTCAAAGCACTTCACTGATGTGCTGAAGAGAGTTGAGTTGCTGTACCATCTGACACCCTCATCATCCACAGCTTAAATGATTTGACATGGGAAGAACTCACTTTGGTTCCTACTCTCTCTATAAAGCAGGAAGAAAGAATCAAAGTGAATCTTCCAAGTTGTTCCTACCTGTGGGATGAACAAAACGTCTGGGGTGCAGATCACCTGTAACACTTTTTGTAAAATTTACTCTGGAAAACTTGTGCAGAAAGTGTGGTGTGGAGCTGTAAATCAGTCCTGTGCTCARTACCACTGGGGAAACAACAGCTGAGAAGGAGCTGTGGAAATTCTTCCAATTCCACAGCTTTTAAACTTCCATTCCAAACTTCCTGCTAGGGCTRGATCCAGCCACAGTGCTGGACTGATACCCTCCTGCCCATCCTGATTCCTCCCTCCTAAGATACATAGTTAGGAAGGATTCATGTCACAGAAATTCTCTCTTTTATTAAAAAGAAGTGGATGATTTATTCTAAAACAAAGATTATACTGATGGACTATCAATATAGACTACCCAAATCTCTGTACTTTGAGTTTGTTTTCAGGAAAACTCATTAAATGTTAAAGAAATATTAAAGTATTTAAATGGAAAAGAAGATGAAAGATTAGGGTTGAAAATACTCAGTTTGACTTAGCTCTGTATACTTTCCACATGTTTTTAATAGCCTAGTGGTAAAACCCAATAAAACCGCTAGAAGCAATGAAATCATAATGAAATATCTCAAGGTCAGTCTCRTTTTTCTTTTGGTTTTGCCATTTAGCCCATGCAGTATTTGTAGCAGATGTAATATGAGATACCTGTGAACATAAAACACTTCTTGTTTTGCTTCCCCTACTTTTTCCATCATATTAAAATCCTTTTTTTTTGGTGGGGGAAGAGGGTGAGCTAGAGATATCAAAACCTTTTTAGGAAAGTTCAAAAGCAACAATTAACTGCAGTGATTTTCATGTGGTGGGTCAAATCCTGGCTTTCAGCTGTTGTGGTGTGCAGAAGCACACMTTTAATTTCTAAATGAAATGCAGATACCTCTTTGAGATGAAAGATGGCTGATTTTAAAGCAACAGACACAGAACTCTGTACCTTGKGGAACAAGAACTCCAAAGATGGAACCTGTAAAGCACAATTGTGACCTACCTGAGTGCATCCCTGTGGAACTCCCAGTGGAATGGGAARTCTAGAGTTTTGTAATGATTTAATTACAAACTCTTCAGGA